TATACTATACCACCATGACTAGCAATTAAACTTGGTCATAATGTTGTGGGCGTAGCTCAATCGGTTGATCAAGAAGTATCCAAGAAAGTAATTAAATTTAAATTTGATTCTTAACAATGTATACCTGTGCAAACAAGTATAGACAACCTTTAATACCCATTTGGGCAGGCCGAACCAAGTACGAATTGTATTTTGGCAGATCTACAAGTTATTTTTCGCCCATCCGGGCCAACAGGCTCGCCCATATTCATCAAATACATTTACTTTATTTTTAATTACCTAGCCAATATAAATTTTAAAATTTTCTGTAATTCATGTATAATAGCTCAATTCACTAACCTCTCTTAAACAAAAATCAACAGTCTTTTCATGAATTAGAATGATGAGTTTATTAATTATGCAACAATACCTCCATTATGCTTTCTATGTTAATATGGTGACTGATGATTTTATTTTAAACATTGAAAAAAGAGTTTTGTTTTTTTTTAAATTTTTGTGCAAAAAAGATTTTCTTGATTTTTTATCCGGACCGAGCGGCTCGGTGAGTAGTTCAGCCCGCTAAGGTGGGTGTGTATGGGTAAAGAGTTTAGCCCATCAAATCCGGGCCGGGCTTGGCCCCTCATGTAAATGGGCTTATAATTTATATCAAGCTCGGCCAGGATCCTTAATTATTTGCACAGGTCTATTCCTTTGCAAATATTATGTGTAAGCTCTATCCTTAGCATGCAAGTCTGTAATGATAACTCAATTTACTCAGATATTAGTGATTTAATCACATATTAGCGCCAAGAATGAAGTCTGTGCATGATAACCAAAAAAGTAAAGATTGCACTTGGTATTTGGAAAGAACTTATACTTATTAATATAATTCTCTCTCAATACAATTTTAAGGAATCGAATTCAAAATCTTACTCTCTCGACACTTTTAATACTCCCTCCGTCCGGAAATGTTTTTCCCATTTGATTTTTCACAGTCATTGCACATTGACCATTAATATCCATATTTATACATAGATATATTTTATAAAAATTTGATATTTGAAAACTACGTTTCATTATTAATACATTGATATTAAATTTACATCATAATACAATGTTTTTTTCCACAAATCATAGTCAAAATTTATAAACTTTGACCAAAAAAAGTAAAATGTGAAGAACATTTCCGGAGGGAGGGAGGGATTATTTACCATCCATGGGGCGAGTTGAACTTGGGGGAGAGGAGAGGTTTTATAGATGAGAGAAGGAAAGTGAAGAAGGTATAGTAGTCGCTGCTTACACAGGGATTGCACGTGGGGTTAGAATTGCATGGCCTTTTGATTTAGACGGTTCAGTCGGTACGGGGCCCACCCCACCCCCTTGTCTATTCAACGTCCCCTCTTATTTGACCGTCCCCGTAGAATACGGCATTCTCGTACCATCTCTTCCCTCCCAGGGTCCCACAAGATTGATTGTGGGGCATAAAATTGAATTTTAATCTTTAGTTTGGTTGATAAACAGGGAGTGAAATTTGTTTTAAAAAAAAGAAAATTGACATCCCATCCACTAATCATGCATGGTTCTTGTTGGAAAATCCTGAACTAGTCTGTATGAGTAGTTAAACTGGTCTCAGAGATGAAATTTGGAATGAAAAACTAAAATTTAAGTTTCACTAGCGGCAATGTAGGAACAACCTTTCAAACAAATGAGGGGGCTCATTGTACGCATTGAGAAAACCCTTAACTGTAGTATTTTTGTCTTGAATTAATTATCTTATTTTTATTTTAGAAATCAATAACTTGAATAAGACTAAGACATAGAAAAAAGTTACCAAATAGAACTTGTTAGACAATAATACTAATAGTACTTCTTGTAGTATTGCTTATGGCAGTGTTTCATTATTAGTCAGCTTCCTAATCCTATTTGTGGTAGATGTTGTATGTTAGTTAGTTTCCATTCTCTATTCCTAGTTGTGTTAGGAGTCTTTCCTATATATACTCTATCATGTACTTCATAATTCAGTGAGCAATATTATTATTCCAATATTTCAACAGAACTTTCATATTTTTACTCTTGATATAAGATTTCGCACTGTGGTAAAGTGATGATAATGTGACATTGTACATGTGCACATTACTATGTTTTTTGGTAATGTGATGACCATGTTTGATAATGTAAATGCATTTTAAGTCCTATTTTAGGAATAAAAATACGGAAGTCATATTTTGGTATATTTTCAATATTTTAGTCTCACCTTAGTCTTTATCCCTTTTCATTTTTATCTCAAATTAATTTTTCTCCTTTTCTTATTCACCTTTATAAAAGCATAGAATATGTGTTTTATTATCAGCCACGAATTAGCCAGGAAAGTGTTTATCTATAGTCCTAGCCAGGTGAAACTTAACTCCTTCCTCCCATTTCGAAGTGTCTATTTCAGTCTATGATGCTAGACAAAAACTATTCTCAATTTTTTTTCTTTGAGATTTGGGATAGAATTAAAAAAATTATATATTTAAGAATTATATCGAAAACTCTCAAAACAACTAGTGTTATGACTATTTTTTTTATCAAATACTCTCTTCATTAATTTAAAAATTTCTTTCTCGATTTGACTTGGCACGAAGATTAACAAAAAAATTAAAGTGTAAAGACTTTCTATGTTTGTCCTTGATATGATGAAATAAAATAAATAATGTAGATAAAAAGTTAGGTATAATGACACATTCATTAAAATTTTGTTGCTAAAATAGAAAATGGAAAAGAAATTTTTGGCGGGACATAAAGAAAAGTGAGAAAAAAAATTAATGGAAGAAAAGACTAACTAACAAAAATTGTTAAACAAATGAATAATGTTTAATCTTGTAAATAGTAAAACATAGTTTAAATTGGGGCAAAGAGAATACTTCGTGTATATTTTTGAATTTTAGCGGAAAATTTTGTATTAAATTAGTGAATTGAAGTTAAAGAAAAAAGGTTGGAGGTACACGTTTGCAACTCTATAAATGATACTACCTCATTCATCTTTGAATATTTATCTAGTTTTGATTTTTTATAGTCAACTATTTTCAATTTTTGAATAATTAATCGTCCTATACTTGCTACATTGCAAAATAAATTAGGTGTTTAACATTACAAATTTAAAAAAGTGTAATACTCGTATAAAAAGTAATTGAAATTTAATTAATTAGTAGTGGGAGAAATATTATGAGTAACAAGTTTTATTAATTGGTAGTAATCTCTTGAAGTTTATATTTTGAAACAACCAAAAAAAAATCATCAAAATCTATTTTGAGATGGAGATGATCAATATATCAAATGCTCAGACAGCTTGGTTTTATATTCGTGTTCATTTTTTTTCATACAGTACGAGAAATATACAATAAAAGAATATCTCACATTAGAAAAGTGGAAAGAAAATAATGGGTGTATAAATTCTTGATCTGAGTTAAACTAAGTTATAGATTGAATTTAATCTTTTAAAACGGTTCAACCGAGTGTCTTATGACCCAATCGAGCAACTCTTTCCCCATTCAAAATTTTATTGTGGTACCAAAGCTAATTTTAGCACACCTCATTTGTCAAAAAATTCATCTAAACATTTATTCCTAGTTGTCCCTTAATTGTTAACCCATTTGTCCAAATGACCTCTACTAATATTAATATGCATGATTGCATGAATCCCAACAAAACAAATGGAAAAAAATTACTCCGTACTCCGTATATTTCCTATAGGAATTTATTATGGAAATTTATTCTAAGAAACACTATGATTGCATGAATCCAAAAAAAAAAAAAAACTCCATATTTATGAGTCCAATTCAAGATATATTTCAAGAATGAACTAAAGCTGCTAGAAATGAAATATCTTGCAGACCCCTGCTACTCGGATCACCCAAAAAAGTACGGAGTAAACTATTGTATCCGTACAAGAACCAGAAATTTAAAAAAAAGGTCTACGGTTGACAATGGGCCTGTTTGGGAATAACGTTGGCGATTAGTGTGAGCGTTTTGAAAAGGCTATTGACGGACAACGTTTAGCGTTAACGTTTTCAAAGTAATCTGCGCCGTTAAAATTTTATCCAAAACGCTAACGCTAAGGGAAAAAGTCTAAAGTAGGAGTAAAACATTGAAAATATACTAAACAAGGACTTCCATGTTTTTAATCTCGAAATAGGAGTTAAAATGCATTTCAATTACATTACCAAATTAAACATGGTCATGTACATTACCAAAAAGTATACTAATGTGCACATTTACAGGGCTACATTACAACCACATTATTACGGTGCAAAGTCTTATTTCGGGAATAAAAACATGAAACTCCTATTTTGGTACTTCTTTCTACATTTTAGTCCTATTTAGGGTGATTTCTATAACGCTATTTCCAAACAAGCTCAATAGCATTAACGCTAATTTCAACGCTTTAAAAATACTCCGTATTATGTAACAACAATGTTTATCTTTATTATCATTTTCTGTATTAATTTATGCCGTTAAAAAATTTCACAAAACACTATTTTTCATTAAAAACCATTTTCCCAAATTAATCTACACCTTGTGATACTGTTGTAAATATTTGATAATAGTTCACTCAACCTTGATCAATTAAACTCAAATACCCTACTCCTTTGTCCCAAATTAATAGTCACTTAGCAGATAATAATTCTTGATTGTATTAATTTCCAATCCTATTCAATTAAATAGTTTTACAGACTTTGAAAATGAGTAAAGCCTTGTTTGGAAACAGCGTTTTCGACTAGCGTTAGCGCATTAGATAAAATGTTAATAGTGTGGATCAATTCTGAAAATGTTACTGTCAGATAGCCTTTTCAAAACGCTAACCTCCATGGTGTTGATGTCAAACGAGACCTAAAAGTTAGTCGTACGTATTTTAAATACTACATCAAGTTCTTTCTAAAACAAAATACATTACTCATTACTGTGTATAATTATACGGATTTGAGTATTATTTTAATCAATGATTAACGAAAATAATTTTAATAGAAAGAAAAAAAAGTGATCCATCTTTGAATTAATTATTACGGGGTGAGGGCGTAATTAATTATGAGGAGGACATGCTAATTATATAAGCTACTACAGTCGGATCTGTCCAATAATGCCATTACGTACAAACTACAATTATTATGCATGAGACGATATATGATAAAGATTGATAGCTAATCAATAGGAAAAAACAAACAAACATACAGTAGAAATTTGTTCCGACATGAAGATGGTGTTTCATATCATCATCATCATCTCACCGGCGAAGTTCACGGCGACGGGAGAGCCGACATGGACTGCTGCGGCGGCGGCGGCGGCGGCGGTTGCTGCGGGGGGCGTTTCCGCTTCTTCTTCTCGTAGCTAATCCCTCTGGCTTTCGACTGGAGATCGCGAACCTCCCGGAGGTAGAGCCGCACGGCTCTGGCTCCGAAAGGGTTCGTCTCCGGCTTCCCGCCGTTTTCCTCGTAGGCGGCCCTGAGCCGGCCGATGAGGGCGTCAAGGCTGCCCCAGGCCTGGCGAAGGGGGCAGGGGCAGGGGGCCGGGGGGTTGGGGTGGCCGAAGAACGGGCACGCCGGGGTGTGGACCTTGGTCTTCCCGAACTGGTCGAGGTACCTGAGGAACTCGAGCACGTGGGCCCCGCTGCACCTGGACAGGGCCAGCGGGGGCCTGTGGTTCCTCAGGTACTGCCCGAACGTGTTCCAGTCCCGTCGTTTCTGGTTCTCGTACCGGCTCGACGAGGACGACGACCCGGGAACCTCCTGCGCCACCGCCGAAGAGGAAGATTCGGCGCCGCCGCCGGGGTTGTTCGCCGGAACCAAGCTCCCTAGTTCAGGATAAGGATCGTCCATTATTGGAGGGGAGCTAGCTACTGCTAGCTAGGGTTTCATGCCATCAAAATCAAAACAAGCTTGTGTGTATAGATAGATAAAATGTGAATGATGAAGAAGAAGAAGAGAGAAAGGGAATAAAATGGGAACATAGGGACGGAAGGGGAAAGGAAAAAGAGAGGGTTTTGATTGATATATGAGAGGGTTTCCGTTTGTGAGAGTACACAGAAAGGAGACAAGAGATGGTGGAGTTGGATGTCGGATATGCATATGTGGGAGGGGATTAATCATGGCCATGATGATGATTGATGCATGGTTGGCTATAATGTTTATTTTTCCAATTTATTTTTTGACACTTACTTTTTTTTTAATTATTCATTTAATGTCTTAAATCATTTTTTGCACTCCTTTCATCCTAATATTGAATGTTACACTCCAAACAATGTGCAAAATCATTTTTAAAATTATTTTAATTACAAATTTGTATAGAAGAAAAAAATATAAATTACACCGTTTAAAATAAATTAAAAATTATGCTTCGTTATCAACAAAAAATATTATATTTTATCAAATTATCAATGAAAATATACAAATAAATAATTCGGGACGGAGGAAGTATCCGTTATCACCCAATGGTACATACTCTCTAAGAATGCTACATTAGAAATACTTTCAACGCATGACCCTAATTGCAAATCTATGATCTTAAAGGATCTTACACCCTTTAAGACACTGTCTTGTATTCATCCTAACTACATATTGAGATGTTAGTTTCCGTTTTCATGACAAACCATCTAACCATCTCTGAAGGCCCTCAGAGATGAGGTTCATCTTTGTTTTCATATAGAATATTTGATTCATTTGTGTATTATTATAAATAAATAAATAAATAAATACACTACGGAGCACTATATCATTGAGTAGGATGCTTACCGAATATAATGATATAAGAGTGGTCATTTTTATGTAATCCCCAAACGTATTTAAATTGAAACAGAAGGACGTGACAGGCAGATGGTGTGTACATCTTCTTGTTTCCATTGCATCCATCAGATTTTAGGAGATGTCTTTGACTTGTACAGTAACATTCCCTCCCCACATTAACTCATTATATAATCAGTTCCGTTTGAAGTATCTATGGTACTCCGTTCGTAAAATTGATGAAACCTACTCCCTAACTCTCTCAATACCCCCCCCATCTCCCGGTCCAGCCTGAACCCACCCCCAATCCCTTCAATTTCACCCCCCAAAGTTTTGTTGACTTTGGGGTCAGTACTATATACAGGCAAACAAATCTAAGCACATGCAAAATGATTTTAACAATTAGAAGTAACCGGTTTTTATTTTGATTCCTTGGCATTTTCCAGACATGAAACCAAACATTGAATAAATAACTCTCCTTTTAACATTTTCCTACCCAAGAAATTTCCAAGACCCAACCCAAACATACCATAGAGATAGTTTCTCAAAGTGTTAGTTCCAATGCCAGCCCTCTGAAAGCAAGCTTATCCCAAACTGAAAGCCATTATATTGCAGAAAGCCAAACAGGATTTATGAATACTATTCTTTGTGATTCTTGATCATCTCCTCCACATCCAACTCAACTTCAAGCACGGGATAATCCTTCGTTGCGCCAAATTTACTGAGGGGAGAAAAAAAAATTAAGGAATCCCTGATTTAAAAAACCAGTTTCCCTTTATTTATTTACCACATTCAGACAAGAAGACAACATACCTGTTATTGATGGGGCCATGGTCGACGGCTGATCTTAGACAGTAAATAACTCTACCAACAATGTTTGCCATGGATACCGGCCCAAAAGTACGGCTGTCATATGCATCCTGTTCATAAACAAAGAAAAATGTAAGCAAACTTTTCATGTTCACAAGGCTGCAGAGTCTATATGTTCTCACCTGTTGATGAGGCTCCGTTTGGAACCCGAACGTACTAGGAAAGAAAATTAGGAAGGAAAAGGCAGATCGAGATTGGAAGGAACAAAACTGTTGGGAAGGTAAAAAAGAGGCTGAAAATCCTTTGGCAAGTTTGGAATTTTAATTTTTAAATATTAATGAAAGAAAGGATTTTTTAAGAAAATATTTTCCTTCCCACCAAACAATGGAAAATTTATGATTGCAAAATAATTTTCCTTTGGAAAATATTCTTCTAGGAAAATCTTTTCCCCCCAAACAAACACATCTTTACTTTCTATGATTTTTCGGGAAATAAATGCATAAAGGGTTGTGTACTTTCTATTTTTACAGACATAAGGTTGTGTTCTTCTTGATTCTTGACCCCTGACCCCAGACACCAACAAAGTTTGGATTATATTGGGCTTGTTATTTTCGTATTACTCATATATTATATAAAGATTAATATTCTTAATTTTTGTAAAACAAACTTGAAAATACGAACCATATTCTATTTTCCTTTGCATTTCCTGAGAGAATCCCAAGCATAAAAAAAATATTTTTCCTTAGAACTGTTTTTTCCATTTCCCTAGCATTTTCATGGATACAACAAAAATGTGACAAACCAATGGACTAAAGAAAGACGTAGCACTGTTTTTTTTTTAACTTTTGAAACCTTTGGTGATTGAAATTAAGGTATAAGATAAGTTGAATGAAATTTCATTGTTCATATATGATGTACCTTGGGCTTTATGTTTCCATTGTCAGCTTCTACCCAGCACTGATCTTCTTCAAGAACAAAAGGTTCATCTTTTTCATTGTTTGACACCATCTCATATCCTTGAATTGCAGTCAATCTTCGAACCAGAAAATCATCTGACTTGACAGGGTCCTTAAGGACTACAACATCTCCTACAAAAACATGCCTGTGAAAGAAAGATCAAATTCTCAGTAGAAGCAAAAGAAGCACAAATGAAACCATACAACCGAACATAATTTCATGGATATGAATCACGTGATTGAACCCAATAGCGGGTTGTATATTTTCACTGAAATTAATTTATTTTCAGGATTATTAAAAATTCTCAAATTTAAAATAAACAAAGGCAAGTGCATAACAGAAAGCCATGGGACAAGGAAAGTAACGTTTTCAAACATTTATTAATCATGCCTTATGCCAAAGGTTAGGAGTAAACTTCAAAATAATAGAGATCAAACTTGAAATGCTATTATGCTAGCATTAAAGATCATTTCAAGGAAATAGCAAAGTCCAATGCATTCCTTGTATCAGAGTCAATCACCAATACATCTCAGTATAAGAACCTTTCTTATACTGCATCTGTCCAAGAATAATTTACCCACTTTCTTTTTTTAATCTTTCCCAAAATAATTTACCCACTTTTTCTCTTTCCTTTTTTGAAAAAGAATGTGGTCCAAAATACTTCTCTCTTTTCTAAACAAATTCTAACGAATCCCTTTTCACTTTTTTACATCTTTTTAACATCTTATGAACACTTTTCTTAATTTTCCTTAAGTCAAAATGGGTAAATTGTTCTGGGACGAAGGGGCTATTAAAAATGGGAATGATTATTTTAAGCAAGAAGCACATATCAATGACTGGCAGCAAAGAGAAATAGTAAGCATTAAATAGCTCATGATATACTTTGCTTGACAAAAGATTACATGGGATTTGGTATAGCTATCTTCCGAACAAGAAGAGTTCCACCCTGAGGTCCTATCGTTGGTGACATTTCCTCCCCTTTATTGAAATGCTGCAAGAATGTTAACCTTCCTAGAAAGAAATTCTTAACCATGGCATCACCTGCTTCTTTTTCGTTGATATGTCCTGCTAAGTAGTTCTGCAACAAATCAAGTTTCCATCATTGTGAATAATCCGCAACCACAATTTGGTACGAATGAAGAAATGAAAAGGAAAAAAAAAAACAGAACATGGTGTTTGGATAATCACAGTTATCACACTGCTCCTTGAATCTCTCTCCGCCACTAAGATATATACAGAGAGATATTTCAAGCATGTTCACATGAATGAAGCAGAAAAATAATTCATATACGTCAAATCCATATAGCTGAATAATATGGGTTATCTTTCATGTCAAAACACTTTGTTTGAATACTTCGATGATGCCATCATTCCGCTCATCCAAGATAAAATCTTCATTATGGTTTAGCAACTCCTATCTAAGTGAATAATGGACTAAATTAAAATGATATATTAAACTTTCCTGGTTTCTTACTTTTTATGGACGTAAAAGCAACACATTATGCTTCTATAGTCTACTGGTCTGACGGAAAAAATGCCTCCTTACTTACAAGGATAGGAACGTGTACATCTTGACCACCAAAGGCTAGACCCCAATATAGTTGGGATTATACTAGGTATGTTGTTTTTGAACTTTTTGTATGACTTGTACATAGTGATGGCAATTTGGGGCAGAGCATTTGTGTGTTTTCATTTTGGCGTACATTTTCCTCAATTGGGTAGTCTATTAGATACTCTGGATTCTGCATAAAACCTTCTAGATACAACAATATTTTTGTGCACTACAGAATAATGTTGAAGAAATATATTACACACCAAGTAATTGCAACTTGCAAGGTAAAAAATATTATAGACACGGCTGAAATCATTTTTTAGCAGTAATGATATATGGTCCACATGTAAGTGACTTCTTCCTGGGTGGTTATTCTAAAAGTGCATTCTCATACATATTTATGTTTTTCACCAATGTGAATATGGTTTCCCAAATTTTTCTGTTTTGCATTTCACATGCAATTCTTAATCATGTGTCAGAACTCCAATTCATTGAATTTAATTTTATGCATATGCTAAAGAAGATTTTCAAACAAATGATGCTTGGCTATATTCCACTATTTACTTATTAAATCCCCGGACCTTAGTTATGATGTACCCCTTATTTTTCTTTTCCATGAACTACAATACTTTGTCAGACACACTGCTGGAATGGAAAAAACATATACCTAGTACCGTTTGTGCTGTGACACACAAATTTTCTTGAACATTTGATGAGGCATGAGAAAATAAAACCACCCCTAGGGGATATGTTTTTAGTTTCCAAGTACAGGAAAAAACTTGATGGATAGAAACATGAGACCGTGAGAGGTGCGCTGTTTTGAGATCAAAGTTGGGACAGTAGTTTACCATTTTATGCTATTGTATAAAATCAAGGTTATTCAACTGGACCAATCAATAAGATGAAACTAGAAAATAAGAGAACATTCACATTTTGCATGGAATCCAACAAGTTTCAATACTACACTACAATTACAAGAGGATTTTTTTCAAGGCTTGAATTCCTGACCTAATTTGCCTCACTCACAAAATCAACTTGAATCAATCAATGCTTTAATTCTCTAAGGGTCCGTTTGATATCTGGAATTGAATTGAATTGGAATTAAAATTCCATGGGATTCAATTCCATAGAATTGAATTCACCAATTCCAATTCATTTTTTGCACGATCAATTCTAAATCCACATAATCTTTTGTGCTACCAAACAACAGAATTGGAATTAAAGTTCTAAATTCCAATTTCAAAGTTTGAATCCCGTGTACCAAACGGGGCCTAAGTTAAATTCAAACAATGAATTGGAGAATGAAGAGCAGAAACAAACCAATCTCAGCGCTTCAAGCAAGAAAATTAAAAATGCTCAAATTGCAAAAATAAAAAATGCTCAAATTGCGAAAAACCAACATAAAAGCACATATTGAACCAGTAGCAGCCAATTTTTAGTCCAAATCATGCTAGATGTGTAAGTGCGTGATTGTATAGAGAGCGAGAGAGGGATGGAGAAGGAGAAAGTGACCTTTTTGCAGAGAGAAAACGCATACTCGCCTTTGTTGAGCGTGTACCGGAACAAGGTGGCCGCGGAAACCATTCTTACAGCGTTAGGTAAAAGTTCACGGTGTCGTTGTCGCCGTCTTCTCCGCCGGAGTCGGTCGGGGTTTAGGCACTCCCAGTTCTCATTCTCATCTCTTTACCACAGTTTTGGCCTTTTTCATTTCTGCCCCTCCGCTTTTGAAATTTACCAAATTCCGCCGTCAATTTTTTAGTTGAGAAATGCTGAATCCCACGTATACCTGGCAAAAAGTAACCCGACTTATTTTTTACCCGAAACCCGACCAGAAAACACTGGATTTTAATCAAAGGTTTTGATAACCGAACCCGAAGTTGACCGAACCCGAAATGACCCGCTAAAAATGGGTCTAACCCGATCGAACCCGAACCCGACCTGACCGACCCGCTAAAGTAAGAATTTTTCAAAATTATACACTTTTTTACTCGTTTTTAGTGTATAAATTTATATTTTCAGTCAAATGTTTAATGATATTGCATAATTATCTTACTTGTTTTCCAAAACATAAGCATTTTTAAATTCCTTATATTGATTTATATATCTAAAAACTACCTTAGAGTTTAAAATAAAATAATTTTATAGATTTAATACTATTTTTTGATATTTTAAATTTATTAATGTGAATTTAAAAATTTAAAAAACCAAAGTCATAACCCGTTGGGTCGACCCGAACCCGATGACACTGGGTCATGAACATAGAGTTCTCAACCCGAACCCGAATTGACCCAAACTCGAAATAACCCGAACTTGAAGTGACCGAACCCGAACCCGACCTGACCAACCGATTTGCCAGCTCGTACCCCACCCACACCATATGTACACCAAGTCAAAAATAGGCAAATGACATTTAATATCTATACGTGCATATGCATTAAGTGTTTGTGTCTGCCTATTTTAGGCTTAGGGGCTGTTTGGCAACTTCTGAATAGCTAAGTGTTGAACAAGTAAGAGGTCTAAACCATTAAGTGCTGAACCAATAAGAGGTCTGAACTATTAAGAGCTAGTATATTGCTTAACTATTCAGAAGCAAATGTCTGATTAATTCAGATAAGAGGTCTTAACCATTCAGACTCTGTATAATACTTAATCATTCAGAGGCAAATGTCTGAACCATTCAGACATCTGAAACATTAAGAGGCTGAAACAAACAGTCTGAACCATTAAGTGCTGAACCATTCAGATATCTAAATCATTAAGAGGCTGAAACAAACAGCCACTTAGTGTACCTTGAGTATTGTTTCTCTAGCACTCCTCTTTTTTAGTTTTGATGAACTAGATTTGTTCTTACTCGTGCGACACTTAACAAATTTTTCTAAAATTCAAATTTTTAATATTTGAAAAACTAAATACTCCCCCGTCCAACTTAAATCTTTCAAGTTTGCATTATGATGTTTGACAAATTTTATTTTCAATTCAATTTATTTAATTGTAGATGCAAAATTAAAAAGTAAAAATTATATATTTAAAAATTTATATCAAAGATCTGCAAAACTCGATGTGAAATGAATAGTTTATTTTATCAAATGAGTAACGAAAGTAAAGAAACAAAGTGCATCAAGTTTGATCCTGTAAATAGTGTAGGTAAAGATTCAAGTGGAACGGAGGGGGTATAAGTAAACTTTTTTTAAAGTTAAATAAATTTTATCATCATTGGTCGAGGATTTTTTTAAGAGAAATTTACCTAAATAGGACAAACTTGACATTATTCCTCCCACTAGACATTATTAAGTCTTATTTATAGAATAAAAAAGTTTAAGTCCTACATTGGAAAATGACTTATGTTTTAGTTCGCAAATTTCACTTTTTTTTCCAAAGCACATTTGTCACATTTTCTGATTTCATTTCAATTTTGTTTTTTAATGATACCTTTTGTTAAAAAAAAGTAGCCCACTTTTTTTTTAGATATTTAGAAAAACATTTCTACTTATTTTATATTTTTCGTAATGAATATGTGATTTATAATATATTTTTTTATTATCTAAACAAGTCATTATCATATACTCTGTTCTCTAAAATGATTTTTGTTTTGACTTTTGTAGGAATTATTTTTGTAATTTAACTTTCATATTTAACCATTACCGTAAAAAAAAGAGATCATTTTATCAATCCAAAATGGATGGAGTTTATTGCAATGACTTTATTTGGATATAATAACCATTTTATTTAAAAAAGAAGGTGTTTTAGTGTAACGAAAAAAAAAGAAAGAGTAAGGATTCTACTAAATTTTTTCTTATTCAATAGTATGTACGGAGTAATTTTTAAAAATTTTTACCATAATAATAGCATTCCCTCGATCACAATTACAAGTTTTAATTTTTGATTGATAAATCGTGACCAAAATTACAAACATGTGGAGTTAGCGGTCTATGTTGGGGAATTGTACGCACCATGAAAACAACATGACAATTAACAATAATTCATCATAACCATTTACGAACTTTAATTTTATCCTCTTCCTCTAATTCTTTTTGGATGATCATCATATAATCCCCTGGGGGCGAACTTCAAATTAAAGGAGGCAAGCCAGACGAGCAAGAGACAGGTACGTACGCATATGCATCCCTCCCTACGTTGTTTGTCGGATCAAAAATCCAATCTTTGATCTGACAACCAACAACGTAACAACAATGCCCGAGAAAAGATTGTTCCCCTCCTTCGACAACGAAGACGACACCACCACCACCAGCAACAACAGCGTCGCCATCAGCGACGATGACCTCGACGCGGGTCCCGAGCAGTCGCCGCACGACGCCCGAACGACACCGTCGTGTCCCGATGCCGAGGGCCGCGAGGAGACGACGAAACTCTCCGTCAAAATGGCGTTGCTCGACCTCCGGTGTCGGGTGGAGGACGCCATCCTGAGCAAGTACCTGGTGTACAACAAGAAGAAGGCCGTGTTCTCCAGGGCCGACGTCGAGAACCAGCGGGACATCTCCCTCTGGGGGGTCCCGCTGCTCCCGAGCCGAGGCCACGAGGGCACGGACGTCATCCTGACCAAGTTCCTGAAGTCCCGGGACTTCAGGGCAGCCGAGGCGTTCAAGGCCTTGCAGAAGACGCTGAGGTGGCGGACGAAACACCGCGTCCGCGACATCCTGGGTGACAAAGACGTCGTCCCAGAAGGTGACAGCCTCTGGCACGCCGACGGCAAGGACAAGGACGGTCGGCCAGTCTGTTACCAAACACTGGGAAATTTCAAGGATTTGAACCAAGATGTCTGGGGAACGACGTCCCAGAAAGAAAGACGAGATAGTTTGACCAGGTGGAGGATCCAATGCCTGGAAAAGGGCATCAGGCTTCTCGATTTCAAACCCGGGGGGCCCAATTCCATAATTTTGGTGACTGATTTGAGAAATTCTCCCGGAATTGCTATGAAAGAAGTCCGTTGGATTACCAAGAACATGTTACGCCTCCTTCATGATAATTACCCTGGACTCATCTACAAAAATGTAATTAACCACCTTAATTGAACGATCATAGATAATATTTTGAATATTAATAAGGAACTTCAAGTGTTAATTAATAGGAGGATTATAATTAATTCCAGGTACTGATAAACATTCCGATTTGGTTCGCAACGCTCCACGCGCTGAATCTTCGGGTCATACAACAAAGAAGCAAGAACAAGTTCATCTTTGTGAGGTCAACGAGAGTAACAGAGACACTCCTCAAGTACGTAATTACGTATCACTATTCCATTAATTTGTAGAATTGTGGAATTAATTTCATTCAAAACCTTAATAAACATGTGCAATTATACATTCATAGGTATATTCCACCAGAAGAGTTGAAGGCTCATTATGGGGGGCTGAGAAGAGACAAGGACAATGAATTTTCCCCAAGTGACAAAGTTCTTGAAGCAACCTTGAAACCAAACATAACAACCTGCATTAGGATTCCTGTCAAAGAAGTATGTGTACATTATGTTTTATTTATGTCACAAAATAGTGTGACTATTTGACCAAATGTCGCAATTATTTAAGTAGTTAATGATTGTTTGGTTGAAATATTATTACGCAGGGAGAGATGACGATAACGTGGGATTTGATGGTGGTGGGGTACGAAGTGGCGTACCGGGAGGAGTTCGTGCCAGACGATGATTGCTCGTACAGCGTGTTGCTTCAGCCAGAAAGGAAAATGGAAAGTTTGATAAGAAATTGTTTCCATGTAAGAGAGCCAGGAGAGATTGTGATCACCATTCACAATTTGACCTCCAAGAAGAAAATGGCTTTCTATAGGTACCATACCAAGCCCAGTGTACCAATTTACATGCTCACCAAGTGTTCCTTTTAATATCAGTAATTTAATTTCAATTCCCCCCTCTTCCATTTAGTTTTATTTTTATGGTCTTTTTTCTTCCTTTCTAAATTTTGTCTAGTTAATTGCTCTGTGGAAATGCAAAATGTGAAAACAACAATAATCCATGGCATTTGCATGTATGAATTTTAATCTTAAATTAAATAATTTGAATCAAAATAATTTTAGACAAATAAGATGAACCCTATCAAAAGTTGTTTCTTGAGTTAACGAGTATAATATTAGACAATACAAATCATCTCAAGATATGTGAAAGTATAAATTGAACCATCAACCTAAAGGTACACCGAGTGCGACATTACTTGTGACAACATAATACGTGTCTCACTCACAAACACACATAAAATACCGAACTTTTCAAGTGACACTGTAACATCATAAATTGTGTCACACTTGGTTTTACCATAAGTTGCATGCCTGGCTACATGCATTATTTTATTAGCCCAAGTTTGAAGTTGGTGTTACACATTATTTTGAACAATAATTAAAAGCTAGGTAGTTCATCAGCAATATTTAACAGATCCTGCCAAAACCTAACGCCGGAACTGACGCTGCCGCCGGCGTCATTCTCCGGCAGCGGCGGATTCGCGCAGCGGAACGACTGAAACCCATCGGCAGAATTTCCATCCGCGGCGGCCTTCGTCAGTTCGTTCCACAAAGACGCGTTATTGTAAACAGGGAAGTAGTCACAGCTCTCCAACAGCGTCTCCAACGACGACGGCGATTCAAAAGAAGCGCCGGCGGCTGCATGGTCAATGTTTGACGATGTGGTGGTTGCTGCAGGATTTTCGTGGATTCCTAAAAAGCGGCCGGCGGCGGTCGGAATCTGGACCGGAACATAGTGGTGGTTCGGTAGCAGTCTCTTCTTCAAACGGGTGTGCCATACGTTTTTGATCTCGTTGTCGGTTCTTCCCGGCAATCTTGCCGCAATTGCCGACCATCTGCAGGCAGCCATAGGATAACATTTACGAGTATTATTAGAAAAACTTAATTTTTTAAAAAAAAAAGTTTTGAAAAATGAACATTTTTTTTGTTGTTGAATTAATTAATCCCAACAAAGAAAAACCAAATACCCCTATATGTAGAAGTTATTTATCTATAGACTAAAATATATATTCATCTGTGCTAAAATTAATTTCTAATATTTTGATTTTTATATAAATACATATTATAAACTTACAGTAATAAATTTCAAAATCATGTTTCAAAATGAATATATTGATAAAAAAACTTAAATGAAAATTTAATGTATTTTTTCCATAATATGCGGTCAAAGTTTAAAAAGTTTGACTGCAAAAGTCAAACGGAAAAGTTAATTTTATAACGAAAAGAATAAATTGTTCGGCGTGGTTAAATTTTGCGAAAATTTACTCTTTTGATGAAAAAAGGTACTTTTTTCTCCGTTTATGAAATTCTTTCTCCTTTTTTTCCTTTCCTTCGAGAAAAATTTTCAATTTCGACTAAAAAGTCACTTTTACCCCTATTAATTCTTAATATACTTATCGGATCAAATGGGGCAACCGCTAATATCATAAATAGAGCAAATTAAAAGAAAGAAGAAGAAGAATGAAACCTGTTTCCTAAAGCTTGATGCAATTTGATGATGGCTTCTTCTTCTTCAAAGGTGAAGTTTCCTCGCCTGATGTCGGGTCGCAGATAGTTCATCCATCGTAGCCTGCAACTCTTTCCGCACCTTGACAAACCTTCATGCACTCAAATTAAACCAGAATGAATGTATATATGGTTTCATTTTCAAATAAAAATATGAGTTTGTATTCCTTTTTTTCTACAAAAAGCAATTTTTCTATTAAGATTAAACCCTGAAAATATTAACTTAATCATTATGATTGATGTTTTTAGTACATTGAAAATTGAATGGATGTAGACGTGAGGCATGTCCTGATTCATTTAAATTTTAATGTGTCTAAAAAATAAAGCCACAACGGTCAGTAAAATATGAATGAAAGGAGTGTATATACATACTCCTTTCGTCCCTGAAAATTTTTCTGCTAATTCATCATCCAATTTTTTTTTTCATTTATATTAAAAAGTAATTTTTACTCCTAATAATTCTTAACCTTACTACCTATCACATTACATCTATTCACTATAAATCTACCCATCAAATTTTATTTTCACTCATCACATTTAAAGACACTTTTGGAAATTCAACATCAAAATACGTACACTCTCCTTAAATCACTTAAAAACCAAAATCTTCCATATTTTCAAGGACGAGGAAGTATAGTATTACCAGCATTCTTGGGGAGTGATCGCCAATTGAAATGGCCATGGCGGTTGATGTAGTTGATGAGGATTTCATCTTCCTCTTTGCTCCATGGTCCTTTCTTCAACCCTCCATTAGTACTCTTCTCATTACTAACTCCACCTTTCAACATATTTTTTCCTTTGAAATTTTTTTCCCGGCAAATAATTCTTCTACGGAGTATATCATTAACCCTATATATATATATATATATATATATATATATATATATATATATATATATATATATGCATATATATCTAAAGTAAAATACATTGGGTATATATATGATCCATGTATATATAAATGTATATGTATCATACATACATATATATATATATATATATATATACACACACACATATATGCGCAGATAAAGCATACATTAATTGTGGAATCCGCACTGCAAATCATTTTGAACATCCATTTAATATGGCATACCATAACCCGTATACCTATGTTCCCACTTCAGTCCAGGGGGGTTGCTTTCAATGGTTCTTTTTTTGAATTTTGTGTTTTTATGAATTTTATTTATGGATATTCTATTTATTACAAAGTATTTTGTAAACATTTTGAATTTTGTATTTCGTTTGAGTTTATTTCTATTTTGGATTATATAAATTTTAGGGTTGCCCTTAAACAAGGAGTGTGTTTTTACTAGTACTACTCTCTTTTTTTGGCTAAATTCATCATTAAATTTGTAAAATAAAAAATGAAAAAAAAACCATGTCCCAGATTTTGAGGGTAAGTTTATTTCTCTATTTATCATAAAGACAACAAATTTGACAAAAGAGAGTGTAAAACATGAAAATAAATTTACTTAATTAGAATGATGAATTGAAGGATGTTTGTTTTTTTTTAATTAGTACAAGGTGCATGTTAAATGAAGGCAAATTTTAAGATTGCATAGTCATAATATTTTTTTCTTATACCGGAATAACATTTATTAAGAATGCAATAGTTTAATTAGTACTTCGTATTATGACTTATTGAATTTTATCAAATTGTTTCGGAACAAATATTCTCGCCTTGGCTGAACGGGGTGCCACATCGGCACGTTAAGGGGAGGCCATGAGGCTTCAATCCTCTGATCATTTTTTTCTAAGTCCATCCATCTTCTTCATCTTAGTGTTTTGCTTTGCTCCCTCCATCCCTTTTCTTCTTCATCTCTTTTTGACTTTTCAAGTTTTTACTTTTTTTTAGAAGGGGAAGATAGAGAAGTTTGACTAAGGCGGAAAGATGACAAATGAAATAAGTTGGGCTCGAGAAATATCAAAATGGATAGAACATAAAAGATAGTTGAGGTAAGTTCGGTTAGATTTAAGAATAGTAAGGGCAATTGTGTCTATTTAGGTGAAATTGAAATGTTTTATCAGACGTGTAAAAATTGAAAGTTCAAATATTTTAAGGTACAGAATGAGTAAAATTTAGGGTAAAAATACCCAAATCAGTCTACAAGAATAACACAGTCCAACAATATCATGCTCTATCCGTTTTTTTATAAAAAACCATTTTTACTATGGAGTAATATTTTTCTTACCGTGCCTATCACATAATACTTTTTCACTAATAATCTATCCATAACATCTTATTTTACCTATCACATCAAGAGTAAAATTTGAAAGTCAATCACAAATATACACTTTTTATTTTTGCTACAAGTCAAAATAAGAATAATTTTATGAAATGAGAGGAGTACATAAAGAGCCATCACTTTAAGAGAAGAAAAGTGAAAAATATCGCCAAAAACGCCGAATTAAACCAGCAGCAATTACAGATGATTCAAAAAGCTCTGATTCAAGGGGTGTTTGATGTTGATTTTATTTTAGAGTAAATTTTCAAAATAGTCCTTCGTAATAAGGAGTTTTCCCAAATTAGTCTTCAATAAGTTTTAATTACCTACGTGGCCCTCTATAATTGAGATATATTCCCAAAATAGTCCTTTGTAATAAGGTGTTTTCCCAAATCAGTC